GTACTTGGGACTTTTTCCACAAAGAAATCACCACGGTGATGGGTAGGAAGGAAAAAGGTGGAACAATTGGGAAAACTTCGGTGAAGGCAAAAGAGTAGTAATTTGGGGAAAAGGGGAAGGGAAAGCCTTTGGGTGTAAAGTTTATAAAGGGGTTTTTACAGGGGAAACAGCCCCGCCCCCCCCCCCCGCAAACTTCAGGACTTCCCCGAAACCTCCTCCTCCGAGCGCAAAACATGTGCCCTGAGGCAGGCACACCCATAAATACGAGACGGACAAATATTAAAAACAAGTGCAACCGGGTAGCGATATCACTCGACTGCCAAAACGGCGGGCTGAGCCGACAACCTTCAACAATGTCCCATCGACACCGACTGGGAACCACCTCTTAAGTTACGACAAAACATTGGTCTACTACTGTAGCAGTAGAACGCATGCTGCCCTATGCACCTTGAGAGTGAAACCTTTTCCGTCTCCCACACCCAAAGCAGCGAAACAACAACCAAGACAACAACGGGATAGTCTGCTCTTACCAGGCATATGACACTTGCTTGCGAAAAAACACAGGGTATTCAACCCGAACCACTCCGCGTGCGGCTGCGCGCGCTCGCGCGCGCCGCACTCCCTCACTCGTTTTTTTTTTTTTTCTTGTCTTTGCGACTCTCGAGGCTTCACACACATGAAACAAAACGACAACGATGCTGCGATTACCCGTCCCCGCCTGTAACGCCTCAACGACGTCCCTCAAAGCTCCGAGGGTCCGGAGGCGAAAGGGACAGCAAACCCACACAACAAACCACCCACGCTGGCACCGGACACAAGTAATACACCAACAAGGGCGCGCTCGCGCCCCCCGCGGCGCTGGCCACACCGTTTATGCACAACAGCAGTCGAATGTACGTTCTACTGGCAGCGTCTCGCCAGAGCACCGGTCACAGGCGTTGAACGTTTTCGCCCTGGCTGCTGCCGATGGTATGGTACACGCAAAGCTTGAATGAAGCGACCGCGTTTCTAGGCGCCTTCGGTACGAAGCCGGCGCGGGGGCCGTGCTCTACCGGGAAGATATCTATGCAGACAACAAATGGGGGAAACAACCATGGAAAAAATGAGACAAAAAATACCGTATTCATCGATGGCACCGCTACGCTAAAACAGACAACCACAACACTACTGTACGAATGACATGTTTTGTAACCATAACCATCGATCGAAAAAGCCAACACACAAGACAATAAACAACAAATGGAGATCCTCATAATACACGATGCCACCCTACCGCGGTGGCATCCGGCCACAACACGAAGATGGGCACGGACCACCCGGTAATATCTTCCGTAACGTGCATCCCCCAAAAAATCAGCGTGTGATACAGAACCCCTATGATACAGGCCTTCCTCGTGGATCTATGCAGCATCACTTTTGCAGAGGAAAACAGGGCGAGACGACTGATTGACTGCTGTCGAATCGGGATGCGAAAAACCAAGCGAGCAAGCGAGACAAATACCCGCTGCAGACGCCCATCACAAACACACATACATCCTCTCCCCCCCCCCCCGACAACACTTGAAAGCGAACAACTACTGCATGACACGGATGAAAGGCCGACACACGTGTGCACCCAAAGCCGGGCGAGCCCACTACAGCACGAACGTAGAAACACGTACAGTAGCGCCGAACACCCGAACGACAACGAACGTTCTCAATCTACCCTTACACCCGCCCGTCCGCGAAAAAACGACTGTCAGAAATTTCGCCCCCGCCCCCCTCCCGCCGGCGTTAGCCAGGCACACGCCTCGTTGTTATCCCACGATTAAATACTTACCGAAGTATCTCTTCTTCGGTTACGCCACGCCATACACTCTCCCGCGCTCCTTTACGGCGAAAGGGGTGGATGATAAAAAAAAATGATTTGTCCCTCTCCTCCCTCCAGCCCCGCCCCAACAACAGCTCTCTCTAGCTCCGGACGAAATCCTCCGGACGGGGAAAAAAAAAGGTCTACCTCCTCCGGTTCTCCTTCCTTCCCCGCCTAACGCTTCTTGCCGCCGCTGCTGCTAGCGGACGCGGCCGACTTGAAGGACGCCAGCATGCGGCGGACGTTGACGTGCCCGCTCAGCATGTGGCTGGCGCAGTAGGTGGCCTTCCTGTCGGATGCGGACCCGAAGCTGGGCTGTCGGAAGCAGGTCGGCTCCCGGCACGTGGGGTTCTTGATGTCCACGTACCCGGGCGGCTTGTGGGCGGCGCAGAAGGTGGGGTGCGGGTCGCCGGACCGTCCGTAGACAGGGGTCCGCGTGCTGCGGGGATAGGGGGGGGGGGGGGGTGGTGATGTTAGGCGTGGCCCCGTGTGACGAAATCTACCGGTCGGGTTCGTCTACAGCCGAACAGATGGTTCTACAGAGACAGGTGTTGTCAACCGAAAGGGAGGGGTGGGGAGGGGGGGTATAATGCCTGGACGCTAGCTAGTCGAAGACGCCAGCTACGACTAGCTAGCTAAGACGGCGCAACAGAACACCACCGTCCGCCATTCCCAACAGAGAAGACACAGAAACTCTGCGACCCTTTTCTAGCACTTTTTGTGGGTCCGACCAACACTGCTACAATCTCAAGTACTTCTCGTGTTCCATTTGTCTCCAACAACAGAGGCCTTTTCTCCATTCCACAGATTTCCAGCCCGTCGTCTACGCGGCGCGCGGGGGCGGGGGGGGGGGGGGGGGGGGGGCCCCAAAAAAGGTTTCCCCCGGGAAGGGAAAATAAACCCCCCCCCCCAAAACTTAAAACCCCTTTTTCCCCAAAACCAAACCCCCCCCCCCCCCCCCCAAAGGGGGCCAAACCCCTTTTTTTTTCCCCGGGGGCAAAACCTCTCCCAAAAAATTTTGTTCCCCCCCCCCCCCCCCTTTAAGGGGGGATTTTTTCCTGGGGGGGGCCGGGGTTTCCCCCCCAAAAAAAAAAAAACCAACAATTTTTTTTTTTTCCCCCAAAGTTCCCCCCAACCCTAATTGTTTTACCCCCCCAAAAAAAAACCCCCGGCCCCCCCCCCACTGGGGGAAAATCCCCCCCCCCCTTTTCACATTAAAAATCCCCGAAACTTTTTTTTTCAAAAAAAATCCCAAAAAAATTCCCCCAAAATGGGGTTCCCCAAAAATGGACCCACCCCAACCAACGCCCCCCGAAATTTTTCACCAAAAAAGGCGGAAAATAACCCCCGGGCCCCCG